TGCATATGACTCTCTCTCTCAGCGTGCATTGAATAATGTTTCAGGGAAAACATGTTCGATGCAGTGTATTTATATTCCTATTTTTCGGTTTGAGCTGAATAAAAGACATCAAATAGTTGTTTACTTTAGCACATTTCTGTCAAGTAATGACCAAGGTTGAAATCTTGAGTTTGATAGTTCAACGAGAGTATACATGAATTAGGATATCCATGAGTTAGACGTGATTTTTAATGGTTCACTCCACTGTTTTGAGTTGCATTAAAGACCTTTCCTGCAGTTATTGTTTCAGTTTCTGCCTTGTTTTGCTAAAAAGAATCATGTTTTTTTTCAGTTCAAATCTGTTTGGAAGTGCTGAATTGATTTTAGTGCTACATCTCTTCATTTCAAATTCTGTTGCCAAATTACTTTTGGGGAAATACCAAGTCTGTTTTGGCGAAGTATTTTCCTCCTTTTGAATCTGGTTGTGAACCCAACAGAGGACCCTAAATCTGTCCCAGACCCTTGTTTAGACTTTTCAAGATTATTTTTACATTGTAAACCTACTTTGAATTCCACTTCACACTTCAAGAGTACTGTGATCTTTCTTTAGAATTATAGATATGTTTTGGGTTCCTTTTAGAGTGTTTTAAGAGCTGTATCAATTTTGGATTCAAGACTGTCCGTCCATTTCATGTATCAGTTTGTTGTTTTTCTTAAGACTTGAAACTCTGAGGTTTTGGGTTTGCTTTACTGTTTGGAGATATGATGGATGGAGAATTAACACTTTTTTGGGTATTTAGGCAGGGGTTGTTTTGTTTGCATTCACCCCTACCGTTTAGTTTGCCTTTTCAAGGATAGTTTAATGTCATGAACTAGATAAGTGGTATACTTCAATTGCTGCTTTGAGAATTAAAAAATGAGGAAAATATGAACTGTTCTAGGCTCTTGCTTATTTAAGAACTTTATTTTCGGTGGTTTACAGTAGAGAAGGTAGAGAATTAACATGTTGCTTGCAGTGTAAAAATGAAATAAATGGGGACTGTTTTATGTTTCTGTACATGAACTGTTTAGTTTAAATATTGGAGGGTTGTTTGGTCTTGTCCAATCCAAAGAGTAATGATGTGCCACTTGCTGTCTGGAACCCAAACAAATGAAAAACAGAGGCTGCTTTGGACTTTGAAGACAAGTAATATGTAAATTTTTGTTCAAATAAAGAATATAGACTTGAGTAGACTTTTTACATGTATTAGCATTGTCCTAAAATTAGGTATTTTATTTCATGTTTCTTATCTTATGAGCTATCCTTTTGCTTGTTTTATTGTTTCTGTCCTCTATATTCTACTATTTTCAGGATAAACCAAAACTTATAAACTTATGCCACTAGACGGATGTCTCAGCCTTTTCTATCTAGTTTCGTTTTCCTAACTTAGTTTCTCTTTATTAGACCAGTGCATATTTTGATTGTTTAAACCCACTTTAAACGGATTAGTGGCAACTCTTTTTTGCATTTATTGCAAATTCTCATTTTTTACAGTGTTTTGCTCTAGTGTCACGGTTGTAAGATGTACCACAGCTTAAGTTTCAACGGAAAAGTTAGGGTTCAAACTCTCAATATCTAGTTCTAGTACCATGTGACTTAACTAAGTTGTAAAGTTGATTGCCCCAAGAGCTTAACCTAACAAAGAATTATCCAACTTTGCTGTTTACATAGTAATAATGCTACAAATAGAGATAGAAGTGGTGACAAATACTATACCTTACCAATCCAGGACAAGAGCTACAACGATAGAGTTCCAGGTTAAGGATCAATTTACGGGGCGAGAGATTAGTCTAAGAGATGATTAAAAGATTGTCTATCTTCCTTCCCTATTGTGACAGCGATTAAGGACTCATTGGAGAGGACAATAAGATCTCAGAGCTACTCCTAAACAAAATTCTGCTAAAACTTTTATTTCCTTCTCAAGCATTTACAATATGAATTACAAGGAAATTTAAATAGCTTTAGCAGAACTTTCAACTTAAACAGCAGAGTAACTGAAATAAAACGACTTCCAAGATTCTACAGCAGAAAGATGAAAAGTAAAACAAGCATGAAAAATTGGACCACTTGGAAACATAAAGCAAACTGATGAGATCAGATCCAATTCTGATCTCTTGGCTTGGTCAACTTTATTCTTCCCATGTGTGCCACACCTATCTAAAAAGGTATCCAGCTCAAACTAATTCAACCACCTAATTACCAGTAAACTTAACTTGTTTTGGCTCATAACATATAAAAATAACTGTTACAAAGTCTGCAATGTAGGACTTGGATTTAGATCTTATTTTGCCACCAAACCCAACCAAAACTTGAAACTGTGAAATCAATCCATCATGATATCTTGCCAGGCAATACATGCTTTTCCCAGGTTCAGTTTATCCAGATTGGCCCACGTGTTGTCTTCAACAACTTATCTTATATATCTACAACAAAAAGAACCAACTTCGAATAGTCCTACATTGTCTTCGGTTTATACCTAAAATTTGTGTATTTGTCTGTAAATCCATTCTTATCTTAATTAAAAGATTATAAAAGTCCTATCTAGAATAATAAAATTGAGTTCATATGGAATTCCATACGGACTTGAAACAATATATTCCAAAGTTCATCAAAATATGGAATTCTATACATACTTAATATTTTATCATCCTAATACAATTTACACCTTCTATTACTTAAACTAAGCGTGGATTGCAAATGAATTTTACTTCATCTTTGGATTGATTTCAAAGGTAGCTTTAAGGATGAAGCCTGAGTTTCTAATTTCTAAATTGTCTAACTATCTTTTGGGTCATTTAGAAAGAGAGGAATATGACAGTTTTTGAAGGTATAAAAAGCGACATGCTTAAGATTAAAGATAGGTGGTTCCATTTGTTTGGGTCTTTATTAATGAGGAATGATTTGTATAAGGTGAAAAATTTTGAGTATATGATTGATTGCCTTACTAACATGTAAATCTTTTAGTACATGGACTGCACCCACTTGGTGCATTGCTAATATTATTCATACTTTTTATTTCAAATAGAAAAAGATAACTCAACATCAGCCTTTTTAAGATGTCTTATCAGATTATTTTCAGCCATGAGACAAATTGGATTACTTGACCCGAGGCAAGAACATGGTTGGAAAGCTAGACAAAAGGTTTGACCTAGATATGAGAAATTCATAAAGAACATACTGCAGTACCTTCTTAAGAACTTAGACCCTTCAAATTCTTCCATTGGACAATTGTTTGGTTGCCAACGTAGTTTCTCGTAGGCAAAATCCGTGCGCTGCATCAACCTGCAAGCCCACATTGATGCTAGCCATTGTTTACAACCAAACCCAGAATATAGTGGCCGGTGCTCGTCTACAACCCATTTTCCTTTTGCATAATTACATCCTGGAGAAAAAGAAATATTGTCAACCAAACTCATTGACCATAATAAATGGCTCTTACGAATATGGTAAACAAAGATCAAAATAACAGTTACAAGCAGAAATTGTTTACTGACAGAACCAAGCAGAGAGATGAATGTTATATATGGTCGGAAAAAAAAATCTAAAAAGAAGTGAATCTACTGCTTTAGAAGACATATGCAAAATAAATGAAGAATGTACATATGTAGGAAATGTATATATATATACATGTATACTTACACTAGGGGCAACTTAATTTTTTCTCAGGTTGTTAGGACAGTGAATATTGTTAGCACAACTGGATATTTCTCTCCACCACTTTTAGCTATTTTGTTAGCATCTTTTTAACGGCTTTTGTCCTGGCTAAAAGCTTATATAATGGCACATTTGTGCCCATGTAAACACAAGAGAAAATCAGAGAAATTCTCCTCTTCTCACAAACCTTCTTTCTTTATTTTCTTCATGGTATCAGAGCGGCAACTCTGATCCAGAATCATTCATCATCCAACTCAAGCCGAAATGGCCATGGATGAGCAAAACTCCTCTCCTCCTAAAGTTATTTCAAGTTCCTATAATCCAATGCCTATCAACCATTCTCACGTTGATTAGGCACCTTCATTTGTCACTGGACACAAACTGAATGGGAGCAATTATCTCTAATGGTCATCATCTGTACTCATGTTCATCCGAGAGAAGAGTAGGATGAATACCTTACGGGAGAAGCCATTCAACCACCAGCGCACGACATCTGGGTGGCTGCGCGTGAGTTCTACTCCAACCGAGACAATACCTTGGCCATCTTCGAGATTGAAACATATTTGCACGACCTGCGACAAAGGGAGCTCACCGTGACCCAATATTACAATGCACTCACTCAAAACTAAGCAGCAGCTTGACGTCGTCGAAGAACATCAGTTGAGCTGTCCCGAAGACTCGAAACTCTTCAAAACTCTCACTGAATGCAAACGGATTTTCAAATTTTTGATGGATCTCAACAAGAATCTAGATGAAGTTCGAGGTCGCGTTCTGGGTGTCAAGCCGCTGCCAAGTCTCAGAGAAGTCTTCTCTGAGATTCGTCGAGAAGAGAGCAGGAAGAAAATCATGATGAGGGATCTTTACTCTAGCCCAAATTCGACAGAGATGAACTCTACTCTTGCTGCTCAAAGGAAGTCGCTGCTAGGTGAATCCCAGCTCAATGCCCTAGCTCCCGAGCATGCCTCTGCTCTCCTCGGTCGTGCTTTAGAAACAGGAGAAAGGAAAGGAAGACCCTAGTGTGACTTTTGCAAAAAACCGGGTCACATTAAAGATAAGTGATGGAAATTACATGGTAAACCAGCAGATAAAAAGAATTTCAGAAATGACACTCAAGGCAATATGGTCATTTTAGAGGAATCATCCCCTGCATTCACACCTACAGAGAGTTCTCCTTTCAGTCCAGCTCAGATGAAGACTCTCCTACAAATGTTTTCTCATAAGGGTATTCTCGGTAATACTTCCGTTGCTCAGAGAGGTAATTATTTACTCTCCTACAAATGTTTTCTCATAAGGGTATTCTCGGTAATACTTCCGTTGCTCAGAGAGGTAATTGTTTACTCAGTTTATCTACTTACCCTGTGAAAAAGCAAATGTGGATTATTGATTCAGGGGCATCCGATCATATGACCGGAGATATTATACTCTTTCATCGGTACAGTGAATATAAAGAAATTTCTTCCATCATGATTGTTGATGGAACTAGTTCTAAAATAGCAGGGGTTGGTTCAACCATTATATCATCGAATATGATATTGCAGTCTGTTCTTTATGTGCCAAATCTCGACTGTAATCTGCTATCTGTAAGCAAATTATGTAAAAACTTGAACTGTGTTGTTAAATTTGACAGTGGTTTATGTATTTTTCAGGACTTGACCACGGGGACGATGATTGGCAGTGCTAGGAAGGAATCAGGACTTTATCTTCTAGCAGTTACAAACTCTCCTCAAAATGGACAAACTTCAAGTGCAATATGTGCTAGCTCAGTATATGTAGGATGTTCTAATATTGACCAATTTATTATGTTATGGTATTATAGATTAGGACATCTAAACTTTATGTACTTAAAACAACTATTTTCTACTTTATTCAGAAATAAAAATCCGAGTTCATTTCAATGTGAAATATGTCAATTTTCTAAACATACCCGCAATTCATATCCCAGTATTACTTACATCCCATCAAAACCCTTTGCATTGATTCATAGTGATGTTTGGAGACCGGAACGGGTAAAAAATGTTACTGTCACAAAATGATTTGTCTCTTTCATTGATGATCACACTAGAATAACCTGTATCTATCTGATGAAAGAAAAATCTGATATTAGTCCAATCTTTTACAATTCAACACTATTATTCAAACCTAATTTCAAACAAAAATACAAGTGTTGAAAACTGACAATGCATGTGAGTATTTTGCATCCAACCTAGGAAAATTCCTTACTAACCAAGGTATTGTCCATCAAAGTTCTTGTCCTTACACCCCTCAACAGAATGGTGTAGCCAAAAGGAAAAAAATAAGCACATCCTTGAAGGATCATGCTCACTTATGTTTACCACAAATGTTCCTAAATTCCTTTGGGGAGAGGCTATTCTCACTGCTACATATCTGATCAACAGGATGCCCTCCCATATCTTTAAGTTCAAAATACCTTTTGATTCTCTTGTTCAAGTATTTCCAACATCACACATTCTTCACACAATTCCTTTTAAAGTCTTTGATTGCTTTATTTATGTTCACATTCACAGTCACCTCAGAGGGAAAGTAGATCCTACAGCCCTCAAATGTGTTTTTGTCGGGTATTCTGCTTCTCAAAAAGGTTATATATGTTTTTATCCAGTAACCCGCCAGTTTTATAACATTATGGATGTCATTTTCTTTGAAAACCAACCCTTTTATCCCACTCTTGATATTCAGGGAGGAGACATCTAGAACTCAGGAATATCAATTATGCGATGTGAACATATCTCCACTACAGATTCCATTGACAACTTCAGAAAAAGAACATGTCTCTGAAACCACTAAAGAACCTGAACCCACCACAGAGACTAATAGCACATTACGTGCAATTAGTAAGTTACGTGTCTATATCAAGAGGAACAAAACTAAGTACTGGAGCCAACTATACACTGTCATGACTCAACTCCTGGACCAAGCACCTAGAATAACAAAGGTAATGAGATCTCTGACTCAACTGTTGATATTGGTTTACCTATCACTTTACGAAAGGCTGTTCGTTCTTGTACAATGTATTCCATACAGGATTATGTCTCTTATGGCAAACTGTCTTCAAAGTATCACACACTTATGAGTAAGTTTGACAGTATCCCTTCTAAACCAAGAATAGTTCATGAAACTCTCAAGATCCCTGAATGGAATACTGCTATCCAAGAAGAAATTACAGCCCTTGAGAAAATAGGACATGCGAGTTATCTGATCTACCTTCAGAAAGACTCTTATAGAATGCAAGTGGATTTTCACCACTAAGTACAATCCTGATGGTAGTGTAAGCCACTACAAGTTCAACTTGTCGCTAAAGGATTTACTCAATCTTATGCAATCGACTATCAAGAGGCATTTGCTCCTGTAGCCAAGCACAACACAATTCGGATATTATTCTCTTTAGCCTTTAATCTTGAGTGGCCTCTCTTCCAACTTGATGTGAAAAATACTTTCTTTAATGGTGATCTAGAGGAATAAATGTATATAGAAGTCTCACCTGGACTCAAGATGAATCCTCAAAAGGTATGCAAACTAAAAAAGACACTATATGGTCTCAAACAGTCTCCAATGGCGTGGTTTGAAAGATTCATCAGGGCAATGAAACATATAGGATATGAACAGTGTCAATCCAATCACACTCTTTTTGTCAAGCATTGTATCACAGGAAAGAGAGGTATACTAATTGTTTATGTGGATGATATTATCCTAACAAGTGATCATAGTGAAGAGATTCCAAAATTGAAAGACTTTTTAGTTAGAGAATTTGAAATCAAAAACTTTGGGATACTCAAATATTTCCTTGAAATGGAAATTGTCAGATCTAAGAAGGAAACTTCTATATCTCAACGGAAGTACATCTTAGATCTCCTGAAAGAGACAGGTATGCTTGGTTGTAAACCTGCAGAGACTCCCATGGAAACAAATGCTAAACTTGATTACAAAAGTGACATTAAACCTGTTGATAAAGAGATGTATCAAAGGTTTGTTAGCAAACTTATCTACTTGACTCACACAAGACTTGATATCTGTTTTACTGTTAGTACTGTGAGTCAGTTCATGCCTCAACCTACTGAGGAACACGAGTGCTGTCTATCATATTCTGAAATACCTAAAGATGACACCTGGACAGATATTATTCTTTCAAAAGACTCTGGTCAGAGATATTGAGATCTATACTGATGCTGATTGAACTGGATCTGTTACAAATAGGAGATCCACATCTGTTTATTGCTCATATATTTGGGGTAATTTAGTCACTAGGCGTAACAAGAAACAATCTGTTGTATCAAGAAGCAGCGCTGAAACTGAATTACGATCACTTACATATGGAATATGTTAAGGAGTATGGCTTAAAAAGATTCTACTTGAACTAAGATTTTCTGCTCCCACTGCAATGAGGATTTGGTGTGACAATCAATCAACTATTAACATGACCAAGAATCCTGTGCACCATGACAGAACTAAACGCGTTGAGTTGATCGTCACTTCATCAGAGAGAAAACTGAAAGTCAAGATGTGTCACTCCTATACATCCCAATAAATCAACAAACAACAGACATACTCACTAAAGCACTACCAAAAAGAGAGTTCAATAATCTTGTATCCAACCTAGAGTTACTTAACTTTTATGTAACCTAGATTGAGGGTGAGTGTAGAATGTACATATGTAGGAAATGTATATATATCTATATGTATACTTATACTAGGGGTAACTTAGTCTTTTCTCAGGTTGTTAGGACAGCTGATATTGTTAGGACAGCGGTTATTTCTCTCACCATTGTTAGCTATTTTGTTAGCATCTTTTTAACGGTTTTTGTCCTATCCAAATGCCTATACAATGGCAAATTTGTGCCCATGTAAACAAAAGGGAAAATAAGATGAATTCTCCTCTTCTCACAAACTTTCTTTCTTTATTTTCTTCAATAAATTATAAGGTGATATGACAGGAAACAATGTTTTAATCAAGTATTATTGTGCTTTCATATAATAAGGCCTCATGAGCTTCAATCCATAGCCATTAATTAAGTGACCGAATTATTGCTCAGCTATTGAATTTGACCAGCTAGAATATCCAAAAGGTAAATAAATACTCCTTAAAGAATATAACATTGACACAAAAGAAACAACTGATAAATAGTTACTAGAAACTTCAACTTTAACTTCATTAAAGAAAGATCATAGGTAGAGTCCACTTCCATGAGCATGTCTGCCATTTAATTTTTTCCGACGATATGCAACAGAAGACAAATAACCTTAGGAGATTATCCTCTTTGAGTTTTAATGAGATTGAAGTTTGCAGAGCTGCTATTTCAGCAAACATTAATGAACTAAACAAGCAATTAGAAATATAATACCTTCTGTTTTTGAATGCATTGTCTGATTCTTTTCATACTTCTCCGTCACCAGTGAAGAGGTTTCATCAATTGGTGCTACTACATCTAAACTTTGTCTTTCTTGTTCTGAACTCCTTTCCCTCAAAGTCACTTCGTTATCTTCTATTTCCCTTCGAGTTTGTATGCCCACATGCTCATCATCTTTACTATGTTTGGTCTCTATTTGTGGAGGTGAAAACATTTCTTCTCTTGGAATTATTTTCACTCCTGATGATACAGAGCTGGTTGAAGGAGTTTCCAAAATAACATCTACATCATAAACCAAAGAGAAAAGAAAGAGAAAATATGCAATTAACAGTTTTAAAGTGTTACTAAAGATACTTTTAAAAGAATAAAAAGTATAAATATATTCATTCATACACACCAAGATAGTGCAAAAAAACTATATACAAAATATTTAAATATCAATCAAAATGTCAAATAAGTTCCCTAAGATCCTCGAAAGAGCATAGAGGATAATCTTTAATAAAAAAACCAAGGGTCTGGAACCAACTATCCCTAAACCTGTCAAAAGTCACTTCCATGCCTTCCAACGTCCTCTCGTTCTTCTCCTTCTACACCACCTAAAAAGTAGCGAGGGAAAAAGGCTAACATGTTCCTTCACACCCCTGATCCTTTTCCACACCCATATTTCCTCCCTCACCGAGTCAGCCATCACCCAATTAATACCAATAGGCCAAGAGCAAAGGTCTAAAATTTATAGGCAAAGGGGCACCACAGTAGGATATGGTTGAACGACTCTACATTCCTTCTACACATATAACAGCCATTCACCAGAACCCTAACCCTTCTAATCAGCTTGTCCAGAGTTAAAATGCATCCTCTAACTGCCTCCTAAGAAAACAAAGCAACTCTCAAGCAATGTATTAACCTTCCAAATTTGGTTGGAAGGAAAATATGTACCCATACCCTCTTTTTTGTCAGATAGTTGAAGAAAAAATTGACAGAGAAAGTCCCTCTAGAACTAAGACTTCAAAGGGATCGACTCTAATCCTATCAAGCCTAACCCTAGAAGGGGTGAGAAGTAGGGATTTCCCAGTCAATAAGGTTCCTTGTGACCTCCACATACCACTCCCCATTCCTCGTAGTGCGAATGTAGACATCTTATACCAAAGCATCCTTGTATCAAGCAATGGCATGGATATGAGGAAACTAGACTCTCAGAGTACCACTTTTCATCCAAGTTTCATGCCATAGCCTGACCCTTGCCCCAGTGCCAATCCACCAGCTGATGTAGTTGTCAAACTTCCTTTTGCTCATGCACATTTTCTTCCACAAGCCATTACTTTGACGTCTAGACACCATTTTGGTGAACTGACCTCTTTCCTCAGTGCCAAATTTCACCTCAATTACTCTCCACTAAAAATTGTCATTTACATTCATGAATCTCCAGTGTCATTTCCCCTGAAAAACCCTGTTGACCTCTACCATTAACATCAATCCCAACTCACCAAGATGAATAGGCTTTTTGACCTCATACCAAACCACAAGGTAGTAGTTCCTCTTCTCCTCGAGATCTCCCCACAAGAATCTGCACTCTACGGACTCTAGTCTCTTGGTCACACTCACAGGGATCGTTATGAGAGATATGTAATAAATAAGAATGTTGGCCATAGTGCTTTTAATAAGAGTGAATCTGCCCCACCCCACCCCCTCTCCTGAATAGAAGGTTTCTTTTCCAACCAGTCAACCGCTGTTTAAAGCAAGCCACCACTGGATCCAAAGTGTTACTAAAGATACTTGTTCAAAACTTTACACTCATGTTTCCCTAACTTTAGTCTAAACAAGTAAGATGAATGCATCTACTTTGCAGAGAACAAGGAACCCATTAGATGCAATTTGCTAATATTTCACTTGCTAGGGATCTCATTTTTTAGTGCAGCATACCAAAAGTTCCTTAATTCTATAGCTGGAAGGAAACTGCCCACGTGATCAGGCATGCATGTATTCTTGTAAAAACCCTCAAAATTCTTGGAAGGTTAACTAAAAATTAAAGATGTCCGCGCTAATAAAGCACAATTAAATTTTAAAAAAAAAAAGAAAAAAAGAAGGAAAAAGCAAAGAAATGTAGTTTAACCTGGAGGCAGCCGAAATAATCCACTTTTTAGGTGGGAGAAAGGTGGTGAGAATTGGAGTCCTGTCCCATGCCCATATGAGAATGGTTGTACACACAAGAACGATAAGCATAAGGGAGAGTTCTTTCACCCGAAGTCCGATCACACTTGCTTTCATCCTATAGACAGGTCAAAATATGCACTATTCAACATACAATTCAAGCACTGAGAAAGAAAATTCATAAGAAGAGGGGCAAAATCCAAAAAGGAGACAAAATCAAATTTATGCAGATTTCCTGCTTCCCATACCGTGGCTTTAGAATCAAAGCTGCTACGTTTATAATCAAGACTTCACCTCAGAAGCTACCATCATATCCACAGAGTTTGTATACAGTAAATTCGATTGACATACTAGAATAAATGTTTTTTTTTCGCATCTAACTAGCCATGTATCAAAAGCTTCAACATGGAAAAAATTTTCTCATGAGACCTAGAGGAGGCAAAACTTAGCTCAAGTATTGAACAGGACTTCCGCAACTTCACTTCAGTCCTCCAATAGATACATATTATAAATGCCCGTATAAACAGAATCTATTCAGTAAAAACAAACTTAGAGTCCAAAATGATATTAACTGACGAACTCTTCGCCAAGCATCCTAGCCACCATACATCAGCTCAAAAAAAAGTAGAAGTTAGCATCCCCCTAAAACACCAGCTACTTGATAAATTTCTTTCCCAATTTTTAAGTTAGCAATAAGAGTAAGAACAAAGCAACTGACAAATAATATTTTAATTCAAAACTGAAATCAAGGCAATAAATTAACTAGAGCATCCCGTAATCCATCTTTATTCTATCACAGAGGAAATCTAAGACAACAGAAACCATAATCCATCTTTGTTCTATCATAGAGGCAATCTAAGACAACAGAAACCACCTAAAAAGCATGAAAACGAAATCAAGATTACCTACACAGAAACAAGTAAAGTTTTCAAGTTAGGTCAATTAACTCATAAATCACACCAAAAATAACCCAATGTGAAGAGAAGAAAGCAACGTAACAGGGTAACTCTTGCGGAAAAAAAAAATGCCGATTTAAACCCAACCACGGATCTGCATTATTCGATTTAAGGTAGGCAATCCAAATAAAATTATGCAAATTTTAGGACACTAAACGAGCGAGACAATTACCTGAAATAATCAGATATTCCGGAAAAAGGAGATGTACGAACGCGCTTTCCTTCAGATTATAATTTATTAATTAATATATGTTCTTCTTCTTTCTTTGACAGGATTCTTACAAATAAAAAGTATCGGCGTTGATAAAAATTAAAGAAAAAGAGAGAGAGAGAGAGCGAGAGAGAGAGAAGCAAAAGACGGAGAAGAAATTGGAGTTGAAGAAAAAGAGAAGAAAACGGAAGAGATTGTGTGGGCTAAAGAGTCTTGCACCGCGTCGGCATTGACGATTGTAAAGCAAAGGCACAGTCGAAGATAACACGTTGAAAAATATTAAATCTGCTGAAAATCGTATTAATCGTGTCAATTATCTTGTGGCTTGGGTTTTTGACTTAATGATCTCGCAACGGAAATATCATTATTTTAATAATTAAAAGTTAATTAATTAATTAATTAATTTAATCATTTATTAATTTAATTAATAGTTAAATTATTTAATATCAGCATTTTATTTAAAATTTTTGATAAAGATAGAATGTTACATATTTTAATAAATATTAGCTTAGAACGTTTATTTTTTAATTATTGAATTTAAATTTTTTAAAATTTATTTAAATAAAACAAAGTAAGTATTTTTCACCAAAAAAAAATTAAATAAAAATTTAAGATTATTAACAATAATTGAATTATAAAAATTAACTAGATGAAGAAAAACTATTGCTGAAAACATGCACTTCTAATGTGAGTAGGAACCTTTTACTACTCAATCATCCAAGTAACACTCCGTCCGTACATACTATTATTTGACATATTTATCATAAATTTTTAAGTGATATTATAAAAAAGATAACATATTCAAAATAGTAAAAGTTACTAATAAATCTTTTGAAAACAATAATAAAAGAGGTTAATACACTTACTCTATGATAGAAATTACTTACTTTTCTAATTATTACAAAAAAAATTAAAAAAACACACAAGGAACTTAAGCGTCGACTGTTGTACAATACAAGTATGCGATGAAAATTTTATTTAATGACCCAACACCATTGAAAATTCTACATAAAGTAAATATAGCGATGTAACATTTGTTGCTTAATCATGCATAATTATTTATATTAACAAAAAAAATGACTTTTTAAGAAGTAAGCAAAAAGAAACTATATAACTACAATGAGAATTTACCCATATATGAGTAATAAACATGAATCAAATTTTTAACATTATTCTCTAACCGAATATGTTTGATATTCAATTGACAATGTAAAAAATAATCCATATTGATAATTATAGTTAGGTGGAGGTAATAGTTGGGATGGTCCAAGCCCCGTAATAGAGGCAATTCTATGTGCTTCAAGCTTGTAAAAATCAACAACTATGAACCTTAAATTCTATTATAAGCAAAACACTTTGGCACTAAAACTAGTAACATATAGTATTAAATACAAATCAAAAGCTATTAAATTATACACCAATTTAATATGTTTAATATTCAAATGATGATATCAAAAATGATTGAAGATTAATGATTGTAGTTAGAACAATTGACAATCGAGATGGTCCAAGCCTTGAACTAAAGGCAATCCCACATTTTTAACTATCGCACAAATTAATAACATTGAACTCCAATGTTTATTTCAAGTAGTAGACTTTAACATTCAAGTTAGTAAGAGATAAGTATTAAATAGAAGTTAATAGTTACAAAATTATACGTCAATCATATATGTTTTACTATTCAATTGATAATGTCAAAAATAATTAAAGATTAATAATTATGTTTAGGTACATTAATGGCAGTTGATATGGTCTACGAAGTCATAATTAAGGTTTACCTAAAAAATTATTCCATCAAATATGGTTTTACATGATTTAAGCTCCCAAAAATTAACAATAGTAAATCATGAGTTCTATTCTAAGTAAAACACTCATATAGTATAAAAAAATTTCAACGAATTTAGTTAAATAAAAAACAAAGAAGAATTTCAAATAGTAGCTCATGAACTTTTTTTTTTTTCAATTTCTAATATATAGATATTGATTGTTTATTTAAAATGTCTCAATATTTAAAATATTCAATAGTATTAGTCATTACTCACATTAAAGTAATATAATTGAGCATTAAATGCTCTTCAATGACCAAAAAAGGGACGAGGGAGGCCAAAATATATGATATTATTATCAACTTCTTGAAAATATTTAAATTATACCTTGAATTTTTGTGTGCTTAAATTGTCCACCAACTTTTAAAAATATGTAAATCATTCTCTCACTATTAGAAAAAATTGACATCGTCAAATATCAATTCACATGGTCATTTGTTTTAATCCATGTGTCTATGTGGACCCATATAAAAATTCTTTCTCTAGTC